ACTATTTTTTAACAAAAATATAAATACTGCCCCTCCTGAGCACAGGCCACCGCTGAGGACGCTCCCCGGGGCCACTCCCCGGGCCTCGGCTGGGCACCCCGCAGGGAGGAGGCCTGCACCAGGGAGCGCCCCAGGTCCAGCAGGGACGGCGGGCCGCAGGCCGCAGAAGCTGCCAGTGGGCAGGGCAGGCCGCCGCCTGGGCCGGGAGATGTACCCCGTCCACGCGACTGCAGTGGCTGTCTTCTCTCTTTTGGCGGGGGCGGGGGGCCCCCTTTCCCCCTGCCACCAGCCGAGTGACCGCTTCAGTAACTCCTGGGCTACGTCACTGTGTGAAAACGCCCCTGGCTGCAGCTGGCCTGGAGGCTCTCCGCTGGCTCGCACTGGAATTTTCCATGAGGCTTGAGCGGGAGTCGGTGGGGCGGCCAGGACACAGCAGGGCGGCCTGGCCCGCTGCTTCCCGGGAGAGCTGCCCTCCCCTTCTCCCCTGCGCCTGTCCGTAAAGCGACTCAGGTCTCGCGGGCGGTGACAGACCCAAGCCGGGACGCACCCCAGTTCCCTTCCACGCAGGTTGGGCTCCATTTCGGTCTCCCCCCACCTCCTCACCCCCTTGTGCCCCCACGCCCCTTCTTGTGACTGGCCACGGACAAGCACGGGCCTTTCTCCGAGCCTGAGGCCTGGGGGCGCAGGCCGGTGGCTGGCCGCTCATCAAGACCTTCCTCTCGGGAAAGCTCTCTGAAGCTCCGGGAAGGCAGTGCCGGTCAGCTCAACCACCCGCCCAGGACGAGCAGAGGGGCGGGAGGGGCCGTGGCCTGGAGGCTCCTTTCGTTCACACCTGCAGGGTAGCGGCTTTCGCTGACTCAGCCCATCACACCTCTGGTGGGACAGCTCTGACTTCTCTGCCGAGGCCCCGAGGCGCTCCCGAGCCCGTGAAATACTTGGCATAATCTGAGCCCGGGAAAGGCTTGGAAACGCACAGAATCAAGTGTACCCTGAGGTGTCCGGCGACCCCGATAGTGCTGGGGTCCTCGTGCGGCCTTGGCTTGGAGGCCTGGCTTCGGCAGTGACCAAGGTCCGCCTGAGACACAGCTGTCACCTCCGGAGCCTCGAAGGGTGAACTTGAGGCCCACGGAAAGGTCGTCCTCGGACGTGGGCACCCTCTTTTCGGCCGAGGACAGCATGGAGGCCTCTAGGCAGCCTCTAGGCAGACAGGGGCGCCAGAGCAGTGGCCCTCTGAGGATTCTGGCTGACCTGCCTGTTCAGCTCGGTCCTGAGGGCCTGGCGGTGGCGGCAGCAGAAGGGAGGGTTCAGCGTCTCTAGGGAGGCCGGTGTGGCTTAGACACGCTCATGCCGCTCCAGGCACGCCAGCGAGAGGAAGCAATGCCACGGCGTCGCCACCGCCAGCTGGGGCATCTACCGTCAGCCACGCGAGCAGTTGCCACTGCACGGGGGCCCCCTTTGCCCGCTGGATGGAAGAGCCAGTGGCGTGGAAAGCTGCGGTGGCCCTGGAGCCAGCTGGACCGTTCTGGCCGGCGGCCCGAGGACCCCAGAGGACCTGAGGTGACCCTCGCAAGCTCCCCCGGCCAGGCAGGCAGGCTGTTCACTCAAGAGCACGTGCGCCGGGCCTCAGAGGCGGCCGGCCCAGAAGAACCACGTCGGCCCAGCCCTCGTCCCCTCCCGGGGCTGGTCCGTCCCGGCCCTGGGGTCAGCCGCGGCTCGGGCTGGCATAGGGCGCAGTTGCGTGCTCCTGCGTGAAGGCCCGTTCCCTCGAGGAGAAGCTCGCCACGTGACCTTCTTCCTTTCTGCACTCTTATTTATTTATTTATTTATGTATGCACACAGGAACCAGGGTACAGGCCAGAGGTGGGGTGGGTGAGAGGCTTCACCCGAGACAGAGCGGGGAGCAGAACAGGCCGACCCACGAAGTCCGCTGCTGAGGGCAGCGGCGGGGGTCAGGAGCCTGCGCCCTGTGGCTGGCTGCCTGTCAGCCCAGCTCTGGCTGGCAGGACAGGCCTGCTTTCCAGCTGGCCGGTGTTTGATAGTTAGCTCAGCCCGCGTGGATAGCTCAGACCACCTGGAATCCACTAGCCACTGACCCTTGAATGAAGACAGGGCGGCCGAGACCGTGTGCTGGTCTGAGTCAGAGTCGCCGTTTTGACCCTGCAGCCCCGAGTCAGCTGCTGAGAACACAGGTGTGGTCCTCGTGGTTGCTTCAGCCTCCTCACCTGGATGGGTAGGAGAGAGGCTTCTCCCCGAGCAGCTGGTTCTCCTCAAGCGTGAAGACCCCCTGCGGGGGCCGGGGGGCGAGGCACGGCTGTGCGCGTGGAGCAGACCCCTGTCTGCCAGCCACACTGCTGACTGGCACCTGGCACTCGCGAAAATCCCACCTGCGTCTGGTTGTGTCACTAAACATGCGGCATTCACTGTCGCTCTTCTCTACGCCCTCAGCAGCCACCCCCAGCCCGAGCCAGGAAAAGAAGTCCCCCCCTCTCTCGTGGGCGCAGCCCCCACCTGAGGCCTGCCATCACTGCAGGAGCGGGCACGCCCTGGAGCTGTTGGGGTGAAGGGCCGTGGGAGGGGGGCTGGGCCTTACTGCCCTCAGCTGGAGCGGTTGCATCTGATTCTCGGGGGGGCTCTGTCGGGGGGCAGCTTCCTCGAGGCCCGTCTCTCCTGGGCCTTCCCACGAGAAGGGGTTTGACTTCCCCAACAAATCAAATCTGGGCTCGTGCCTGAAAACACAGGCGCTTCCAAATCGGAGGCCTCAGTTGGGGTCGGGAAGAAGGGACGGCAGGGAGAGACGCGGTCAGCTGCTCCGAAAGGGCAACCGCGGCCCGGGTGGGAAGAGGGACCGGCTGTCCATGGGAGCCAGGGGTGGACGGCAGAGCCGGACAGGCCAGGAGCAGGGGAGGCAGGCCAGGACTCGGCACGTGAACCCGGGGGCGAGGGCCTGAGGCCCACCCCCGTGCGCGCGGACTGTCCGAACTGACCGTCCGTGACCACGCCGGTGTGGCTTCTCCACCGCTGGCTGAATTGAGTCCCTCCCAGGCAGGGAGGCCAAGAGCACGATGCCCAGGCCGGGAAGCTGGCTCCCGACCAGTCGCACGTTTATGCTCCTGCGCGCCACTGAACACGCAAACGGGCCCGCGGGTGCGGTCCGTCAGGCCGCTGTAGCGTGAGCCTCCGTCCCTGGGCTTCAGGTGGACCTCGTGGCAGGTGCCTGCCACAGCCTCCGCAGACTGGAAGCCCCGAGCAGCCCGCGTGTCGTCCGACGGCTTCGATGGCGAGACAGAGGTCCACGTCCCCACGCGCTTCCCCCTTAATTCTGAGCCCCGTGAGACTCCCGAACGATGCGCTCGCTCCCGTGACTTGCACGCTGGCAAAGCCTGACCTGAGCTGCGGGGAGGCTGTTGAAGGGGACTGTAGCTCTCAATTCCTCTGACTGTTCACATGTTCTGCACAGAGACCGTCGCGTGTCTGACGCCGGGGCGCGCCCCCGGCCCTGTCAGACGTGAGGGGCGCGGAGTGGACGGCTCCCACTCCCTTCCTTCACCCTCAGCGTCTGCAGCCAGAGGCCCCCCGGCCCCCAGGATCCCACAGAGGACTGTGGTGCAGAGGTCATGCTCTCTGGGACGGGAAAGGTCGCCAGCGTGGCAGTCAGACCTGGGTTTGCGTGTGGACATCTGGTGCGTCCAGCAGTTTTGGCCCTTCTGGCTCCTTCCCTGGGACCAAAGCTCAGAGCACACAAAGGCAGGGGCTTCAGGGGGGGCGGCGGGGGAGCCCCCACCCTGCAGGTGAGAACGCAGCGGGCCTTTCCACACTGGCTGGCGTCTGTCCATCCACACCCCTGCCCTGACGGATGACCGCTCTGGCAGGCCAGGGCCCCAGAGGAAGGGTGCGCCCCGCTGGCAGCTCCAGGGCCCTCACAAGGCAGGGCCCGTGGGTGGCGGGGCGAGCCGGAGCCTCCCAGCCTCCATCAGCGTCCGGTCACCCCACGCCCCACCGCCCTGGAGACCTGGGTGCCTGTGCCCAATGAGCAGGGGGTGGGGCTGGCGGCCCTCAGCCTACTGATAACGGGATGCATTTCCACAGCGAGCAGTGAGTGTTTTTAAAGATCCGCTTTCCACTCCCAGCCCAGCAAGCAGCAGAAGAAAACACGTAAAGGTCCTCGTGTCCAGCGCCGCCTGGTGCAAACTTCAGGGCCTCTCTGGCGGCTGCCACAGCCTCACAGCTGCTGCGGGATGCCTTGCTCCTTGTAGCCTGTCACAGATAAGCAGAGGAGAGACAGTGAGACACGGACTTCTTCAGGACCCCTCTGTAGGGGCCCCGGGTTGGAATATGGCCTGAGACCTTACTCACACCCTTTGAGGGCCCAAAGCCCAAGGGCTCTGGCTTTAAAATGAGACACAGAGGGGCAAGTGGAGAGCGGGAAACTTTGGGATCAGCAGGGCTATGAGAAGAGGGTCTCTGAGGTGCAGGCTAGAAGCTTCTTGGTGTGTTCCAGAGCCCACGGCCCTGAGGCCACTACACTGGAGAGACGCCCCGAGACCGGCGTGGGGTGGTTTGCCCTGCACCGGTTGACAGCAGACGCCAGGCCGGCTTCCCCGAGTGACAGGACCCTGGTGTGGGTACCCAGAGGACGAAGGCGGTGCCCGACGGGAGGACGCGTGTTTGTTGGCCACGTCCAGCCTTCACCTGGCTGATAATTGAGACAATTGGGAGAAATTGGTACTGTTGCTAAGGTACTTGGCTGTGAAGGAGTAGTGGGGTTCCATGAGGGGAACAACCTGCTGAAATAGTTGGGGTGAGATGATGGGTCTGGAATTTGCTGCTCATTGTCCCACTGCTGGCTGTGTAGCCCCCAGGGGCTCGGTGGGCCTAACTGTCTTTGTCTCTTTATTTCCAGGTGACTCACCAGTTTCAGGTGCCAGGGTGACAGAAGGGCCGGGGGGGCTGGAGGTGACGCGTGGGCGGCGTGGGGCCACCGTGGGGCGGCGTGGGGCCACTGTGGGGTGGCGTGGGGCAGCATGTTCTGTGTGGGCCACGTGGGGCCACGTGGAGCCACGTGGGGCCACGTGGGGCCTGGCTCTACTGGGTCCTCTACTTCTGTTTGCTTGTAAACATTTTCCAAAACCTAAAGCTACAAGTGAAAGCTCACTGGCCCACTGGCAAAGGGGGTGTCTGTGGGAAAGGGGCGTATGGTGCGAGACCACGTCACCCACCAGACTCACCTTGCGAGACTGGGCGGCCACGCGGGCGGGCGGCAGCGTGAGCAAGAGAAAAGGCAAGAGAGAAAACACCGTCTGAAAGCAGCCACAGGCACCGCCAGAAATGGCAAGGAGGGGCTGCGGCTGGGCCGCGTGGGGCCGGGCGGGTCCAGCCGTGGACGCCCGGGCTCTCGGCGACCCGCCGCGCCCAGCAGCCAGCCAGGGCTCCCCTGCCGAGGCTCCGCCGGGAAGTCCCCTCCAGCCCAGCCCTGCCCTCGGCGTCTCCTGACCGCCTGCCCCTCGTTCTGTTCTCAACCTCAGCTCACATTGAGCTTTAGATGACCCAGGTGAACCTGAGGAGAAACAGCTACAGGTTGCTGGCTGAGGATGCTGACAGCTCTGGATGCCAGAAACCATCCTGGGTCTTTCCAGGGCTCCCTGAAACGGGGGTCCCCTGTGCCGTACCTGGCACGGCTGAGCTCTAGCACTGACAGTTCTGCCTCTGAACACTTTCATGGGTGTAAGACAAAGTGAAGGGCATGGGGTGGGGAAAGAGGGGTGCTGTGCCTGGGAAGGGGTGGCCCTTACTAGCGAGGAGCTGTGCACTATGAGGCAGACAGGACACAGGAATCTGGCTCAGGGCAGAGTGATGTCATGGCTGCTTAAAAGAGGTGGTGCCTGGGCCCTCCCTGGTGGCACAGCGGGTTAAAGCACAGCAGAAGCTAAAGCCACTTCAGCATGAGTTCGATCCCCGCCCCGGGGGTGACCCACAGGGCGCGGCAGACCTCTCCTGGCCCGCCCGCTGCTCCCCTCAGCAGTGGACTTCATCCATCTGCCTGTTCTGCTCCCCACTCTGTCTCTGGTGAAGCCTCTCACCGACCCTGCACCTCTGGCCTGCACCCCAGTTCTGTATGCACAAATAAATACATCTTTGAAAAAGAAAATGTTAAGTCATCTGTGGTAAACTTGATTTCGTGGCATTAAGCTCTTTCACAAACCAGTTTTGTATCTAATCAAGTTTGTGTTCAATGACTGGAAAATGCACTGAACAATTAAGTTGGTTAAAAGGAGCAGACCCCACAGCAGTCCAAGCAAAACTAACAGACACATAAAGAACATTTTCTCCAACAGCAGCAGAAATACACATTCTTTTCCAAGACCAACGTGGAACAATTCCTATGCCAAACCATATGTCAGCCCACAAAGCAGCCTTAGCAAATTCAGAATGACTGAAATCATCCCAAGTATCTTCTCTTGCCACAATGGCACAAAACTGAAAATCAACATCAAGAGGAAACCTGGAAAATCGACTGGCCCGTGGGAGTTGAACAGCATTCTCTGAACAACCAATGAGCGAAGGAAGAAGTTATAGGGAAAGAAGAAAGGGCCTTGAGACGAGTGAAAATAAAACCATAAAATATTGGAACTTTCAGGAGGTAGAAAAGAGTTCTAAAAGGGAAGTTCCTAGTGACAAATGCCTCCATTTAGAGCACTGTATCAAGAAAGATTCCAAATAACATAATGCTACAACTCATGGAACTGGAAAAAGAATAAAGTGAGCCCAGCGTCAGCAGAAGAAATATTGAAATATTGAAACAGAAATAATGAAATAGCAGGAAAACAGTTTGAAAACGAGAGACAAAATTAAAGTTGGTTCTTTGAAAAACTAAACAAACTTGATGAACCCTTATCTAGGCTAACCAAGGAAAAAAGAGAAAACAACTGAATCAACAAAATTAAAATGTTAAAGGAGACATTACAACTAATACCATGGAAATTCCAACAATCACCCAAGGCTACACCAGGCTGGACACCAGCAAGCTGGACAACCTAAAAGAATGGGAAACTCTTTTTAGAAACATACAACATGCCAAGACTGAATAAAAAGAAATATAAAATCTCAATGGACTAACTACTAGTCGGGGTGAATCCGTAATCAAGTCACCAACTAAGAAAACCCAGGGCCGAATGGTTTCACAGCTGTATACTTTACAGAATGTTTAAGAAAAATTAAACTGTTCATAAACTTCCAGACTCAGAAGAGGGGCCGCCCTGGTGGCACAAGGGACCAAAACACAGCACTATGAACCCTCCGCAGCCCCTGCAGCACGAGTTCGATCCCCAGCCAGGGAGAGACCCACAGGGCGCAGCAGACCCCTCCCGTCTCCCCGCTGCTCCCCTCAGCAGTGCGTTTCCTCCATCTGCCTGTGCTGCTCCCCGCTCTGTCTCTGGTGAATCCTCTCCCGCCCCTGAGCCTCTGGCCTGTACCCCAGTTCTGTGTGCAAAGTAAATAAATCAATCTTAAACAGAAAAGCCCGTAGAGTAGCGTCTTCCCTTTGCCCTGGAAGAGGAGGGAACACCCCACACTTGTTTCACGTGATCCTTATCAACCCGGCAGCAAAATCAGAAAACTGCAGGAGACTGTCCGGCCCCGCAGGCCCCGCCCCCGCCCCGCAGGGCCCTCACCCTGCGCTTCCCTTCCAGAGGCGGAGC